TTCACAGAGCCGCTGCAGTGGTCTCAAGGGCCCCCTTCACACTTTGGGAAATGCCTTTCTAACCTTCCTGTGTGAATGTCTACTTTTTGGAAAGCCGTACCCCTCTTGTATCTCTTTTCCTTGGAACGAGTTCCCAAACCCAGTTCTTCAAGCTCCAGTGGGGCCCAGCTTCTGTGAGGTGACGCATGCTGCCCGTTGGCCCCCTTGGTCCCAGGCCAGTGTCACTCTCCAAGCCACGTGGTGACTCTGGCACACCTGCTAATGGTCCCAGGTTTTCTGCTTAGGGACCGACCATTGGCACAGTTCCTAGAGATTGTACCATTTAGACCCGTAATGAGGAGGTCAGGATTTTCCTTGCTGCCTGGTGTTTGCAAGGCAGACCAGCCCCTGCAAGGCCAGGCTGTTGGTAGGGTGGTGGGGAGGAGCCACAGGGGGCTCTGATTCTTCTCCCCTTCCTGTGCACCCTGTGCCTGCTGCAGGCACCACTGGGCAAAGTGAGGTGGAGTGTTGGAGGCCCCTGCTGGGCAGCATCGGTGAGGCAGTTGGTGCAAATCTTGACACGGTCATCCCGGTAAACTGGCTTGGGGGTTGGGGGGTGCATGGAGAGGACAAAAAGTCCAGAAGTGGTCTGAGGTCCTCAGAACACATGCGTGTCCTAAAGCAGCACAAGCATTCAGTGGGCCTAGGTGGGGTCAAAGAAATAAAGCAATAAAATGTGTGCAGCCTCTGCCCAGCCCCATCTCGTTTTTCCTGTGGCAGCTTCCTGTAACCTGGAGCCCTGCGACCTTCAGGAGTCCCACCCCAGCTAGGATTTCCTGGGAGGGCAAGGCCACCGCTGCCTTCCTGGGAAGACTCTCCTCCTCACCTCCTTCCTACCTTCCCAACCTTTGCTCCTTCCCAAGAAGTGACCAAATGAACCCAGCCTGGAGAGAGAGCCAGTCAGCAGCTGGTCACCCAGAGTAATGGGAGGACAGGGAGATGGGGGCCCCTGGGGTAGAACATTTTGTATCTTCCCACAAGTGCCTCAGCCTCCTAGGTTAGCAACTAGGGTTTTCTTGGGCCTTCCAGGATGGGGTGGCCTGTACTGGCCTGGAAAGAATGGCAAATGGGAAGAGGAGGCAGGGCTGGCAGAAACACAATAAACCTAAGCAGTCCTCTAGTGCAGGGTTTGCAAACTTTTCTTTGGCTACAGAACTGCATGCGTGCGTGCGTGCGTGCGTGCGTGGAGTCAGGAGGGGCGGGCTGCGGGTCTGCTCTGCTGAATGCTGGGCCCACCACAGCCTTACTGACTCTCCTGACTTCTCTCATCACCATCGGCCCCAAGACCTTGGAACACTCTTTGGTGACGACCGGTGCAGTTCACAGGTGGGAAGGTAAACCCCAGGAGGGAAGAAGCTGCTTGCCCACAGACTCACACGACTTGAGGGTTGGGTAAAGCCTAGAATCCAGTGCTTGCTCCTAGGACATTTGGGGACAGAGAGCAGAGATGACTGTAAGAGAGCTCATATGTCCCGGGCAGGGGTACATGGACGAGAGGAACCTTGGGCAGAGCACAGGTGGGCAGAGGTTGCATCAAGTTCATCTACCCACGTTGGGAAGCCCAACCTGCATGACAGAGAGGAAAGGAAAAATGCAACCATCTTCTGACTCCTGTGGCTGCAAATCTAGCCTCTGACCATGAGAATAACCACCCACTGTTTTCACCCCCGACTCTGCCCTTGTCCCACTTCCCTGCCTCAGGGAAGGCAGCCTCTCCCCTCGGACACACGGGCCTTCTTCCACCCGAAAGCACAAGCCCTGGGACTTCCCTCTCCCTGGCCCCCAGCCTCCTTCTGCACCAGGGAGGGTGGGCCAGTTTGTGTCCGGAGGTCACGAATGTCCTCAGGGCTCCAACGTGCCCTGGACTGTGTGCAGCGAGTTCCCTGTCCTGCCCTAACTCCCAGGTTTTCTAGACACACAGATCTTGGTCTGTGGTCTGCCTAGCCCATGTGGCTCAATCCGTTGGAGCATCTTCTCGTACACCAAAAGGTTGTGGGTTCGATTCCTCATTGGAGTGCTCGCGGGAGGCAGCCGATTGGTGTTTCTCACATCAATGTTTCTCTCTCTCTCTCTGCCTTCCTTTCAAGTCAGTTTAAAAAAACATCAAGTAGGTCTGTGGTCCAAAAGGAGGTAAAGAAGCACTACGTAAGGGGAGGAGGGGCCTTTCCAAGGTAAAGGGGCTCAGGGAAAAGTGGGGGAGCTATGTTAGTGGTTCTCTTCTATGTGGGAGGCTTTACATGTGTTGCTTGGTTTTCTTTTCCTCACCTACCTGTAATGCAGGCTCACTGGCCCCAGTGTACAGACCGGGAAGCGGAGGCTCCCTGCCCCCTGGTGGTTTGCCCGGGACGCAGCCTGGCGGGGGGAGGGGGGGCAGGACACAGCGCAGGCAGTGCTGCACTGGCTTCTAAGAGGCCCTCCGCTCTTAGAACATGGCAGCTGGTGCTTCAGCACCTCCATTAGCCTGCATCCCTGCCCAACCTGTACACCAGGATCTGGGTGCCCAGAAAATGATCTCAGCAGCCAGAGAACCTGGTGCAGGGCATGGCAGCTGTCCTCTGGGGGTAATTCCCTTTGAGTGGAAAACAGAGCCCCCAAGACTGGCCCCTTGATGTCCTCAGTGAAGCTTGAAACCATCTCTTTCTAACCAGGAGAAGGAAGCAAAGTCCCCTGCCTTCCTGGGTAGGACCTAGCTAGAGTTGGCTTGGCTCCCAACAGGATCTGAGGGCATGGCACCCCGCCCCTTCAGATCCATCAGGCAAAGACCCTTTCTTTCTTTGCTCTTAGAAATGCCAGCCACCAAACCACAGAGCAGCATCCCTGCCCTCTCAGCTCCCCCCTTCTCGGGTAGAGACATCAGAGAAATCCTGCAAAAGCAGGCCCTAGGCTGGGTATTGGCCCGCCCCTCCATTATGGAAATTCATTTTTGGCATATTTATTACATGTGATTTTTTTTTCTGTGTTGTTGAGATATAATTGAGGTGCAAAGTGTGAAGTTATACAACTTCCATGTCGTGAAATGATTACCACAGAAGGTTTACTTAACGTCCATCATCTCATAGTTAGGAAGAAAGAAAGAAATGGTTTTTGGTTTTTTGTGTTTTGGGCTTGTGATGAGAACTTTTAGGATGTTAAAGAACAAACTTCAACTGAGTACATTAGAAGTGTAATTGGCTTTATTAAGCGATTCACGAAGGCAGCGTCCCATCTGGTAAAGAGAAAGGTGTGCTGGTGAGTCAGAATGGAAGGTTTTTATAGGCAGAAAGGGAGGAACTAAGAAGTTAGAAAAGTGGATTATTTCAAGTAAGTTTTGCTCTCCTAGGGGAAGGCAGAGTCTTACCAAGCCAATCACCTCACTAGTACCGGCAGGAAATTCCACCTGGAGTGGTTTAAAATTTCACCCCTGGGAGAAGTGGAACTGAAATTAGGTTTGTTGTTACATTTTTGTTTGGTATTGTAGCTTAGCAGAAGTGACTCCATTTTGGCCAGTTCTTTCTTTCTTTCTTTTTTTAAACAAGCATCTACGCCCCTAATAACTTTCAAATCTAGCATACGGCAGCGTTAATGGTAGTCATCAGCTGTACATTCCATTCCTAAAATTCTGCAGTTGAAGTCAGACACTCTGGGCCTCAGTTTCTTCATCCGTAAATTGGGAATTATAATGCCCAACCCACTTGCCTACAGGAATTTATAAGAATTACATGGGGAAGGCATTTAGAAAAGTTCAAAACATCCCCCTGATATGACAGCAGACCCCTGCTGGAACTCACGCATCACCCACACTTCCAGTCCCCAGGTCACTGGACCCTGGCAGCCTGGCTGTGAGCCGCCTTCTCTGGGCTGTGCTGGGAAGCTCCACATGTGCCTTGGGGGCCTAGGGGACTTAGGGTGAAGGAGCAAAAGTGGGTGGTCCTGCTTTCCCTGCCCACCCTCAGCGGCCCCCTTGGTCCTTAGGATGGGGTGGGGGCAGTCCCTGGGTGGGAATGTCATCATTGCCTGGTTTGTGCAAGGTGTGGAGCTAGGAGCAGAAGCCCCAGCTCCCAGCCAAGGACAACAGGAGTTGGGGGAGAGGTTTGAGAAGAGAGAAGGTATCCCCATGCTCTTTCACATATGGAGGGCATTAAGTTTAGTCCAACAGTCTGGGGTCGAAAACCATGTTTCTTTGCTTCTCTAAAGCAACTGACCCCACTTCAAGCTCCCATTGCCTTGGCTGGTGGGAAATACAAGCATAGTCATGTTTAGGGGGCCTGCTCTTTTCCTGGGGTTGTGCAAGAATTTGGGGTCTTACACAGTCCAGAACATTTGGAGCAGGGCCACTGAGTCCTAATCCAAATGGGTCATTGCTCTTGTCCAAGCCCCTAGAGCCCCTTGCTGGTGGGCAGGGACCTCTGCAGAGGCTCCCAGATGGGGCTCTCGTGTGTGGGACCTCCCAAGTCCTTGTCTCCTCAGGCGTGGGGAACCTCTGTTCTGCCTTCAAGCCCACAACTCAGAACCCCCCCCACCACCACCACCAAGGCAAAGGAACACTGAGTTTGGGTCTTCTACAGAAGAAGCAGTAAAAATGATCTCAGAAGCGAGAAAAAGACAAATATCAATGCATGATCCTGTCACCAAGCTGGGGAGTTTACCATGCACATCATTTGCAAAGTTTGTCCCAGATGGAGAAGTAGCCACGTGCGCCACGCCTGGGGATCCTTGGGGAACCTGAGAGGTGATAGCTGGGGGCTGTCTTGGGAGAGGGCCATACACTGGGCAGGCCAGCGCTGCAGGGGCTTGCCTGGTTCCCTGGGGAGGTTCTGGAGATGCTTCCTTGAAGCTTAGGAAACCTCTCAGAGGGGGATGCCCGTCCTCGCCAGGGCTCTGCTATGGGGGAGGCTGAGCTGCCTCCAGGGGCTGCTCTGGGCACTTAGGTGGGACTCGAAGGGAGACCACCCCTGACCTCTGGGCACCCTTTATTCTTGCAGGACCTTGGCATGGAGTCGACCTCGCTGGATGACGTTCTGTACCGCTATGCCAGCTTCCGGAACCTGGTGGACCCCATCACACATGACCTCATCATCAGCCTGGCTCGCTACATCCACTGCCCCAAGCCGGTAGGGCGGCTGTGGTCTAAGCTAGTCAGGTCTGGGGGTGTGAGGTGGACACCTTTCTGGGCAGCACAGTTCAGTGCCCAACGAGGAAGGGTTGATACTACCCAGACCCAAGGAGAATGGACCCTACATGCAGGCACCAAAAGGGCAGCAGGCCTGAGGTGCCCAGCTGTCCTGAGGCCCAGCATCCATGTCTAGGCTGCACATAGGCACTATCAGCACAGCTTTCATTTAGTCCACAGGGTTTTAAATCTGAATTTATTGCCAACATTCGAAAATCAGAATATTTCACACAATCCCTGTATTCAGTTGCCCTTGGAAGCTGGGGAGCTCCAGCAACATGAAGGCCTCATTTCTGTAGGGCTGGGGCTGAGTAGCCACCCCTGCTATGTGGGTCAGGGCCACAGTGTACAGATGTGTAGGCTGTGCCCTGCACAAAGACATATGAACACAGAGATGGCAGGGGTTGGGGAAGCCGGAAACAGTTCTAATCCCGCCCTCTTTGCCCACAAAGCCGTGGGCACTGGTGCAAGACTGTGTCCACCTGGAGGGGTTTCACTCATTGCACAAAGGTGCTCTGTCAGTCTAGCGGTAGCCCTGCTGGTGTTCTCCAGTTTGCTTCAGTCCCCACCCCCAGGTGTCCTCTCTCAGACTGAGTGTCAGTTTACACCCACCCACCCTCCTCATGTCCACTTCCTGCCTGGCTTCCCAGGTTGAGCAGGAAAAACCCCAGGGCCTCTGGGCTCTGCAGGCAGTGCTCAGCCCCTTCTGGATTGGAGGGTCTGCCCCTCTTCCTGGCTGGGCCACGGGCCTTGCTAGGTGCCTGGCTGGCTTATGTAGACCTGCCCATTGGGACCTGTCAGGGGAGAGGGGGAGGGCCAAGATGAGGCCGCTCCATGCTTGTGCCTGGACGTTTCTCTTATTTTGGTTTCTTCTCTTCCATCCCTCAATTTCCAGCTGCTTCCAAAAGAAGTGCTTCCTCTGTGAAAGGGGCAGGAAGCCAGAGCAGGTCCAAGGAAGGCCAGAGGGACGCTTCCTCTTTCAGAGTAGGATCTGGGATGAGAGGGAGGTGGCGGTTCCCAAGCCTACTCACTCAGCCTGGGTGCAGACTTGAACACAGTTATCTAGAGGCCTGGAACCATGAGGGTGCTGACCCTCCACCTGGCGCTTTTCCCTCTGGCCTCTGGAACTGTCTGATGCCAAGACTGAGAGGTTGGGGGTAACTATGGAGGGCTGGGGACAGGTTGGGGACAGGTGTGGGGCAGGTTGGGGACAGGTGTGGGGCAGGTTGGGGGCAGGATGCAGCAGAAGGCAGAAATGCTGGGCTCAAATATGCAAAGGTAAAAAAGAGCTGGTGATGAGGTTTGGTGGACTGGGAACTTTAAGGCCGAGGGAAGAGGACCTATTGCCAGGAGCCACCCTCTCTGCTCAGATTACACCTGGCTCAGCCTTGGGAAGCTGAGACCGGCCTGTAAGAGGCCTTGCAGGGGTCAAACCCCAGCCTTTTCTAAAGCAGGAAAGAAGGGTGATAGGCCACATGGCACCCAAAGCAGCTCAATAGGAGAGAGGTTGCATTTATGCCCATTTTAGAGTTGAAGAAGATAAAGTTCAGGTGATGAAGTGATCTGAGAAAGGCTACGTCCCAGGTGAGACCCCAGGTGGGAATTGGGTCCCAGTGCTAGGCAGGGTGCTCAGGTGCTGGGTCTCTGTGCTATTGGGCTCACAGGGCTGCGGCCAGCCTGGGGCAGCATGCACCTCCCTCCACACAGGAAGGGCCTGCAGTGGTTAACTGTCCATGTCAGACCCCAGGAAACAGGATAGGAGAGGTGTCCCTTCCATCTGGGTGGGGCCAAGAGGAACCATACCTGGGTTGTCTTAACTCAGGCTACTATAACAAAATACCATTGACTGGGTGACTTATAAACAACAGAAGTTTGTTTCTCACAGTTCTGGAAGCTGGAAGTCCAAGATCAGGGTGCAGCACAGTCAGGTTCTGGGTGAGAGCCCTCTTCCTGGTTTGCAGACGGTTGCCTTCTCGCCGTGTCCTCGCCTGGCAGGAAAAAAGGGAGCTAACTCTCCGGCCTCTTCTGACCCTCAAGACCTCAGCTTATCCTAATCACTCCAAAGGCTCTACCTCCAAACACCATCACATTGAGATTGGGGTTCAACATATGAATGGGGGAACATCAACATTCAGTCCATTGCACAGGTGTAACCTTTCTCAGATCACTTAATTAGCTGAACCTCATGTTCCTCAGTTAAGATAGGCATGATACTCTCTCCTGTAGCGCTGTTTTGAGAGATCAATGAGATGATTCTCAAGAAGTGTTAAGTGTGCCTGCCACAGCTAAGCATCCTGTGAACAGAAGTTTAGATGTAACTAATCAGTGAGCACCGACCACATGCCATGCAGGTGCTCAGACCTAGCAGGTTCAGTTGTGGCACACTGTGGCCCTGAGCCCCGGCCTTTGTGGGCTCAGAGTCTTGGAAATTACCAAGCTGGCCTCTCACCCAGATTTCCAGAGCCAACCAGAGCAAGGTGAACCCTGTTGGAGGCAGACCCAGGGGCCTGGCCAATCCCAGCCACGTCCTCCTCCTTCAGGAGTAGTGGACTAGCCTTCAGCTGGACCCTGTGCTCTGGGAGCAGCCAGAGAACCATCTGCAAAGGTAAATGGATCACATTATGTACCTGGTGAAAAAGCTTCCATGCAGTATTGTGTTGTCATTTAAATAAAACCCAAACTCCTTACCTGGTCCTGTTAGAATCTCATCTCGTCTCCACTGTCCACCCTGCTGACTCTGCTTCAGCCACATGGGCCTCCTCTCTGTTCCTGGAACATCCAGAGCCTCTCCTACCTTAGGAACTTTGTTGCCACTCCTCTGTCTGAGGTTCCCTCTCCTCCAGATTCAGCCTGAAAGTCACCTCTCAGTCCTTTGATCAGCCTACCTATTGGTCTCCCGATCAGTCTGTCTCATGCCCTGTTTATTTCCTGGTTTATTTCTTCATTTCATTCACTGGTCTCCAGAATTATCGTGCTTACTTAATTTGTTGGCTAACATATTGCCTACTTCCCCCACTAGAAAATAAAGTCCACAAGGGAAAGAGACAGCATCTGTCCTGGTCACGGTTACATCATGCGCCCAGCAGAGCCCTGGCAGGAAGCAGGAGACCCTTTCCACTGTGAATTTTTAAGAGAGTTTACTAAGGGCTGTGGCAGGATAAAGGAAATGAACAGGAGACACTGAGACCACAAAGACCAGCAGCAGCAGAAAGTTATCACTGCGAAGGGCTGCTGGTAGAAACTGTTGTCGCTGAAGCCAGGATAAGAATGCCTCTTCCAGAACCATGTGTGTCCTCTTACTGCCTAACAAATCACCCGGAAACTCAGGGCTTTCAAACAACATTTATTGCTGTATAGTCTCTGTAGGTCAGGAATTCCGGAGCAACTTAGCTAGGTAGTTCTAGCTTAGAGTCTCTCAAGACATCAGCCAAGGCCAAATAACTGAAGGCTTGACAGGTTGGCAGGCCCACTCCCAGGGTGGCACATTCTATAGTTGTTGGCAAGAGGCCTCATTTCCTTGCCACATGGGCCTCTCCACAGGACTGCTTGGGAGTCCCCACATCGTAGCAGCTGGCTCCATCCAGAGCAGGTGATCCGAGAGAAAGCAAGGCAGAAGCCACGTATCTTTTATGACCTAGCCTACCATCACTGTTGCCATATTCTACTGACCGCCAGCTCAACCCCGAGACAGTGTGGAAGGAGCCTGTGCGCATTCACAGCAGGAGGAGTTCAGGACCATGAGGGCTGGCTTGGAGGTTGGCTGCCACACATGCTGAAACAGGGAGGGAATGAAAAAAATAAATGCCTTGACCTTTCTCTCCTCCTGCCCTCTGATCTCTCTCCCTGCTCCCATTAGCTTCACCCAGCTGGGAGCCATGGGCAAGAGGGCTGGGTAATGCCATCTCTGGAGCTCAGCCTTCAGAGCAGAGGTCAGAGAATAGACCAGGTAGAGAGCAACCAGAAAACCCAGCATAAAGTCTCCAGCTCAAGAATTTTTTTTTAATATATATGTTTTAATCCTCACCCGAGGATATTCTTCCATTTATCTTCAGATAGAGTGGGAGGGAAAGAGAGAGGAAGAGTGAGAGAAACATTCATGTGAGAGAGACACATCGACTGGCCACCTCCTGCACTACCCCAACCAGGGCCAGGGACGAACTGCAACTGAGGCATGTGCCCTTGGCCAGAATCGAACCGGCGACTCCTTGATCCTCAGGCCGAAGCACTAACCATAGAGCAAAACCCGCCAGGGCTAGCTCAGCATTTTTTGTTTGTTTGTTTGCTTTTGCCATTGATTTTTTTTTTATTTTCTCAGTTTTAATTTATTCCCCCCCCCCCCCAGACCCCTTCCTCCCCGTCCTACCTCCCTCACCCCCCTAGCACTGTGGTCTATGTCCATTGGTTATGCATACATGCATATAAGTTCTTTGGTTCATCTCATACATCCCCCCACCCCCTACTCTGAGGTTTGTCATTCTGAACCATATTCCTTTCTATGTCTCTCGGTCTATTTTGTTCATCAGCTCACCTTGTTCATTATATTTCACAAATAAGTGAGATCATATGGTATTTGTCTTTCTCTGATTGGCTTATTTCTCTTAGCATAATACTCTCAAAGTCCCTCCATCTTGTCTCAAAGGATAAGAGATCTTTATTTCTTACCACTGCATAGTATTCCATTGTATACATGTACCACAGCTTTTTTATCCACTCATCTATTGATAGACACTTGGGCTGTTTCCAGATCTTGGCAATTGTAAATAGTGCTGCTATGAACACGGGGGTACATATATTCTTTCTGATTGGTGTTTCAGGCTTCTTAGGATATATTACTAGAAGTTGGATCAGTGGGTCAAATGGCAGATCAATTTTTAATTTTTTGCGGAAACACCATACTGTTTTCCATAGTGGCTGCACCAGTCTGCATTCCCACCAGCAGTG